AGGCAGTCAAGGCGCGCAGTGCCTGGAGGGCATGCTGGGGCCAGCCGGTGAGCTTGAAGAAGTGGTTGCGGTGCTTCTGCTGAAAATTCTTCGTCAAAGTGAGGACCTGGATGTTGAAGCTGCCGTCCTTAAGGTAAGCAGGAGTTTCAGGGTTAGCTACACTCGGTTGGAGCTTTGTGGAAAGGGCAGCAGTCAAAACGTCCTAAACAACCACGTTGTTTCAGTCAGGCTTCGGGCTCATTCCAGCCGATCATTTGCGTGGGCAAAAACTCGAACAAGGTGTCGGCGCTGCCCTTCATCCACTCGTAGTTCAGCCGTGTATGATTATACCAGCACTTCCCAGACATGTCATCCCGGAGGGAGCTGCCCTTTGACTTCCAAATGCGCTCGATGGAGGGTGTGCTTGGCCTCGTTGGAGCATGGGTGCTCAACGTGTGCGCGTGATCGTGTTTGCAGTGTATGCGTGAGTGCCTGAGTGTGCGCTGCGCGTGTCCGTGCACGCGTTTGCTCGTGCTTGCGCGTGTGTTGGTGCGTTTGTGTGGGGGGGAAGGGGGTCGCGCGCATGTATGTGTGTGTGTGTGTGCCCGCGTGTGCGCCTGCGCGTGTGCTTGTGTGTGTGTGTGTGTGCGCATTTGCGCGCCTGTGTGTGTGTTGGCGCGCGTGTGTCTGTGTGTGTGTGTGCGTTGGCCTGTGCGCGTGTGCGTTGCGATATACGCTTTCAAAAAGACATACAATGAATGAGTGCGCGCTCCTTTGTTCGCATGCGTGTGTGTGTGTGGGCGCCTGCGTGTGCATTGTCGTGCGCGCGTGCGCATGTGAAAGCGTGTTGGTGTGCGCATGCATCGGTGCCTGTGCCTCAGTGTGTGTTTGAGAGAGAAAGAGAGAGAAAGAGAGAGAAAGAGAGAAAAAGAGAGAGAGAGAGAGAGAGAGAGAGAGAGAGAGAGAGAAAGGGAGAGAGAGAGAGTGTGCGTTTGTGTGAATATGACTGTGTGTTGGCGCTGTGTGGGTGGGTGTTTGGGTTAGTGGGTGTCCGTGTGTGTTGGTGCATGTTTCCGTTTGTGTATTTTGGTGTGTGCGCGTGCGCATGTCTGTCTGTTGCGTCCGTGCGTGTGTGTGCGTGTGTCTATGTGTGTGTGTGTGGTGGTTGTTGTTGCGCTGGTGGTGCGCGCACGCTTGTGCCGTCGCGTGGCGTGTGCGCGTTGCTGCTCACGCGCTGGCATTTTGCAGGTGTGCGTGCGTGGGTTGGTGTTCTTGGCGATGTGTGTTGGTGTCTGGTGAGTGTGTTGGCGTGCGTGTGCGCGCGCGTCTGAGATTGCGTTTGTTCATGCGCACTGTTGCTTGCTGGCGTGCGTGTCTATATATATGTAGCTGACATGCGCACCACCCACTTACAAAGAATTCAGTGCTGAGTGCAGGGCGCACCCCAGAACTCGAGCATTCGCTCCATGCGGTCGTTCACGAACAGCGCGCGCCATGACGGCTGGCAGCCATTGCCAAGGTCACGCATGAGGCCCCACCTGTTCACAACCACGGTGATCAATGCGTCCCTCCACAAGCGGTCGCCCTCCAGCAGGGTGAGTTGGGTGCCCAGGAGCGCGCAGCCCTTCTGAGGTGTCCTGAGCGAAGACACCGCAAACCAGCAACGTGGACAGCGAGAGTGGTGCAATTGCGTCAGGGTTTTTTTAGAGACTAGGCAAGGTGCTCAGGCGTAAAGAAAGCATAGTGGTGCTCGTGCAACAACTGCCGCAGGTTGCTCTCGTAAATGGATGGCGGGGCAAATGTGCGGGGTCTGTGCTGCTGAGCTGTGGTCCCCACCGTCCCCACAGTCCCCGCAGTCCCCACAGTCCCCACACTCGAGGCTGGCTGCTCTGTTGAGGCTGCCTGCTCTGTTGAGGCTGCCTGCTCTGTTGAGGCTGCTTGCTCTGTGGAGGCTGCCTCCTGTGTGGGCACCTGCTGAGTGGTCTTTGCAGTGGAAGCCCAATCTGCAGGTGAGGAGGCTGTGGCAGCCTGCTGAACCTGTGTGGTTCCCACACTGGAAACTGAGTCAAGCTTGTGGTCTGGCCTTGTGGCAGCACCAGCAGGCACCTCCCCAGCAGTAAGCTGCGAGGCTTCCTCTGCAGCTGCGCACTTTTGGGAAACTTCCTCCAACTCAGGCGTTGAGGCTTTCTCCGGTGCCGAGGGGAGGAGCGCTTGGGGAGGGCCCCACGAAGCAAGGGCAATGGTGATGTATGTGGTGACCTCAACACCTTTGGTGAGCTTGAACATCTTTTTCCCGACCCAAGGGAGGCAATCAAGCTCGTAAGTGCCATACGCGAGCGTCTCCTCGATTGAGGTGCCCTGGATGACTTCTGGATGCTGCAGGAGTCCTGGGCACAGCACAGTAGTCTTTTGACAATGCGCCACACAACCCGACAGGTTGAGACCCCAGTATTGAAACGCGCCCTAAAGCTACACACACACAGAGACACACAAACACACAAACACACACACAGAAACACAGAAACACACACTCAGAAACACAGAAACACAGAAACAACAGAAACACAGGTTTAAACGCACAATCGCACAAATAACACACAAACACACAAACACACAAGCACACACACACACACACACCCACACACCCGCACACCCACACACCCACACACCCACACACACACACACACCCACGCACCCACGCACGCAAGAACCCACGCCCCACGCACCCATGCACCCATGCACCCATGCACCCACACACCCACGCACACGCACACAGACACAGACACAGACACAGAGACAGACACAGACACAGACACAGACACAGGCACAGACACAGAAACAGACACAGACACAGACACAGACACAGACACAGACACAGACTCAGACACACACACACACAGACACACACACACACCCACACACACCCACACTCACTCACTCACTCACTCACTCACTCACTCACTCACTCACTCACTCACTCACTCACTCACTCACTCACTCACTCACTCACTCACTCACTCACTCACTCACTCACTCACTCACTCACTCACTCACTCACTCACTCACTCACTCACTCACTCACTCACTCTCACTCACTCACTCACTCACTCACTCACTCACTCACTCACTCACTCACTCACTCACTCACTCACTCACTCACTCACTCACACACACGCGTCATCACGCATGCGCACACCCTTCCCACCTGTCCGCCCACCCAACCACTCACCCACCCCGCCCACCCACCCGCCCGCGCACCCACCCAGCCCATCCACCCAACCCAGACTACAAGTGACAAGGCGGTGCACCTGTCCATCTTGCTGCCGTGCTTCGGAGCGTCACAATCAGCTTGCTGACCGGGAACTCTGTGTCCAGGTCCTGCTGCAATTCAGCCTGCAGCAGGCAGAGACATGCGTGCGAAGGGACCCTTGCCAGTGACAGTCACCCTGGCTGCCACCGAGCCACATGTTGGAACGCCAGGTGGTGCCCAAATCTTGAAGGCTCTGTTTCCCCAGTGTCCTCATTGTTGACCCTAACTCTGATGGATTTCTTGCTGTACTGCATATGGAAAGGTGTCACATTCGCCGGGGTGTTGTTCACCTGGCCAGGGCTCTGAGGATTGACTGCGTCAAGTGATTCATGTTGCCCGGGCCTCCAACATTTTGATGCGGAACATGGCCAATGGCAGCGCAAGCTATGCTGGAGGCTGTGAAAGCAAATGCTGCTAAGCCAGCAAGTTGACTTGCCACCAAAGTGCAGCTTGGCACCCCTAACAACATCGATGAAGTGCAAGCACCGAGCAAAACCCTCAGGCCGGGGCAAAAATGAAGACCTTCTCTACTCTGAGCCACACTGAGCAGCCTTGGCTGAACGCATTCTGGCAATTGTGCCATGCAGGCTCCATTGCCGAGGGCCCGACAGCTTCTGAAATTCCTCATGAGCAATCGCAGGAAGTCTGCAACACGTTGAAGCACGTTCGCCCTGACTGCCCGTTGCGATGTAAGTGTGGCAGCATCAGCCACCCCGAATTCAATTTTCAATGAGCATCCAACAGATCACAGGCGATTAGGGGATGGTTCAAAAACGCTTCCTTTGAGCTTCACTTGGCCCCATCATTCTCAGACTTGCTCTTATTTTCTTTTTTCGGGGAGGGGGGCTAGCAATTTACCTTCCTTAGGGGAAACCTAACATCCAGCTCACAGGTGGATGACCAATGCCCCGGGCAGCGCGGCTGCTAAGCTCCAGGCTGACGAAGACCGACGAGCAGAAGGCCTGGCACTGTGTGGGTCTGGGAAGCTCACAGCAAGCTGCTTCTTTTGCCCGTTTGGGTTTCCAGGCTGCTCTGGCAAACAGAAACAGCCTCAGCGCCTTCTTGGCATTGCTGATTTCAGTTGGAAAACATGAGAATCTGGCATGGTGACATTGCCAGAGATGCCCACATCTGACTGAGGCCACGGACGGAGGCATCCTCCTCATAATGTCCGAAAATTATAGCGTTGGCCAACCACCTCAATCATAGTGACAGTTCACAGCTATCCCCTGGCCAGCGTGTTCAATGCCTAAACGGTCATGAACATGCGTGAAGTGAAGTGGTTGAAGCCAGGTCGGAAACCTACTCTGCTTGCGTTTACTGCCCTGCTGAGAAGCGAGCTGCGACGCGCTAGGATGCACATCACCTGGCTCAGGCACACCTCAGCATGGGAAGGGTCTTTAAAAAACGCTTAGGCGTGAGAACTCTGGCTGTCAGTCACAGGGCTGGGAAATGAGAAACCCTCAGGATAGGATGTGGGAGGAGCAAGGTCCATGTCAAGCTGCTAATAAAACACGCTTTCTGGGGCTACACGCGCCAGCTGCCAGCCTGCGCCCTGCGAGGCCTCTACCCAACGTGGACCACAAGCTTCGCGTAGGCCCCAGAAAGAGTTAGAGCAACTTGTGGGAGTGACAGTTTGCACACCTGGTGATCACGCAGTTTTTTGCTCCACACTCAAGCTGCGCCTGGCCTCCTCCTGCTCCTCCTCGGAATGCGTGGCTCCAACAAGAAGGCCCCGCAGCTCAAGGCCAGCCAGGCCCGCCAGCTGGCAGCAGCGAAGACCGCAGCTGGCCTTGCTGGGAAAGGGGCCAAAGTGGTGAAAGAAGTTGCCAGTGGGTCCCGAGATGTGGAAAAGCGGCAACTACTGAAAGCTATCCAGTCAGGGCAGTTTTCGCATGTGTACTGCGAGTCCCCACGGGCAGTAGCCCGGAACGTGATGATCCAGGAAATGCTCTATGAGACCAGCAAGGCTATTGGAACCCAGATCGTGGCGAATGATGCCCCGGACCTGTACAAGCATGACCCCAGCCCGGCAGAAGCCTTCATCAGGCGCGTCCTGGGCGCCACGCAGCAGTTTGATCGCGATGTGGTTGTGGACCGCCTTGCCAAGGGACGCGAGCTGGCCCTGGATCATGCAAAGGCAACCGGCAAAGCCAGAAGGTCGCAAAAGGGGTCTTTCAAAATGTGTGGGCGCAGCAGCCTAGTGGAGGAGCGATTGCGGAAGAAGCCCCTGACCAGCTCAGAAAAAAAAGAATTGAGGTCACTGCGCAAAGGAGTGCATGAGAACCGCATCAGCAGCCGGACCCTGGCCTTGAGGCTGGTGCCGATCTTTGGCAGCCCGAAGCAGAAGAAGCAGAAGGGAAAGCCTCCGATAGCTCATACCACCGCTCTGCGCATTGTGAATGAGTTGACCTTGAAGAAGGTGGTCTGATTTGGGGCTTCTTCGATTTTCAGTCATTGGGTCCTATGTGTCAAAGCCAATGTCAAGTGAGTCTCTGAGCAGGGTTCCTCCCGAAAATTAAAGGTTAACCAACCCCCAAGGTACAAAATTGTTTCCAGTTGTTTGGTTATTCTTTTTGTGACTGGGTTTTCGGAGCAACCCTGAGCCAATGTAGCAGAATGCCCGACACACTGCGCGAGTCGGCCACAAAAGAGGTGACCCTCAAGTTTGCGTCTTTAGCCTTGTGCCCTCAGGTCTCTCGCGCTGCAGCCAGCAGGAGTGTGAGAGAGGGGATGTGGCCATTCTGAATTGTCATGCCGCGCTGCATCTCGCGAATTCTGGGCATGTTTTCCCGCAACCACTCAAAAGGGTGACGGTACACATCCTGATTGCCCAGGAAGCACATGTGCATGGTGAAAAGTTCTAACGGACCTGTCAAGAGACGGCAAGGTGACGTCCCGTGGGACGCTGTGCACCGAACCCTCAAGCTTTAATACCAACCACGTGGAAAGGTGTATACGGACGATGCCGTTATAGCCGAACCCGTGTAAACGTTGTAAGGAAGAAGATACACCAGCAGTCCTGACAAATGCAGCGCAGGCTGTTGTTTTCACTCTTGATGCCCGTCACGTCTGTTCGCAGTCACACATCAGATCTTGAACCTCAATTGTGTCTTGAGCCAAATGGCGATCAATGGAACTTGGGAAGCAACACCAACAAGGACCTCAGAACAGCTACCCAATTTCGGCACGGGGCCTAGAGGGTTTTAACATCCCCCATTTGGGTCGCATTGTTCATCATGCGGTCCAAACACCACAAAACGTTCCACTGGCCACGGCTTCAACTACGAAATCGTGTCGTGCATTCTTTTACTTGCTATCACTACACCGTTCATTCGCTGTGAAACATGCCGGGTTCGATTGTACGAAAAGTGAAACATTCATCCTCCAATCGAAGCACACATCCATATGCAGGTGTATATATAATACACTGTGGCCACTTCACATGACCGCCAGTGAACATTCCAGCTGCCGCATTTGCGCATCGCGCAGCTGTCATCCATAAATGGGTTGGCCACAAAAGTCCACCAGAGGCGCCTGCTCGTAATCGGTCTGCATAATTCCGGCAAAGAAACATCGGTGAGTAATCAATGCAAATCATAGCCATTCCAGATACCATGGACAATGCATAAATAATGAAAAGATATCATCTATAAGGTAATAGTTCCATCCATGAATATCCAGAGCGTCATAGTCGTCGGAATATGTAACCATGTACACATCCATTCATCTTGGACACATGAATATAAATCATGACATAAGTCGCTCCACCGAAACAGTGTCGATGTGACGCAAGTAACAGATGGGGACTGGCCCACATCGTACCGCAATCATCATCTTCACGAAGCATACCTGTCCCCAATGGACAGCCTATGGGTACGACGGCGGAACTCCTCGTCCAAGTTCTTCTGGGCTTCTCGTGCCCGGACACACTTCTTGTTGTAGTCCTCCGGCAACCAGTGCCCTTTCCGAAGGCACCAATCCAGCAGGGGTGTGTCGCATTTGTTCGGGTCGATGGCCGAGATGATGGCGCTCACGTTGACCGTGTAACCATGCTTGCCAAGGTTTAGGCCATCCCTCACGAATGATATATACTTACAGTTGAAAGCTAGTGCAAAACATCTGAAAATAATATCACCCACCGGGTGCACACGGTCCTTGACCAGGAGCTTCATTTCTTCCTTGGTGACATCGAGGATTCTCGCTGCAATCCACAGCTTGTAGAATGTGTAAAGTCCCTCGCATTTGCACACCATCAAACGAATATATTCGTCACGCTCCTCAACCGATCGGAAGGCTCTTGTCCGAACATTCTCCGATTGAGAAATCTTCGGTATTGTTGATGGCAAAAGTATACCTTCCTGATCGTGCTCAGTGATGTTGGGGTACCTCCTGAAATCATTGTGATAAGGGCAGCCCGGATTCCCTTCGAGTCCGGCATTCATCGTTCTCTCCTCACCACCTTCAAACATCCCCCACATCTTGGACAGCTGGAGTGCGATAAATCCTGCCAAGTACTGAGCCTCACGCGGCTCGTCAAGGCAGATCGCCATCCGTTGGGAACTTATAATGTCCCGTGACGTCAGATCGGTGTCGCGGTAATGCCAACCGCCGACTTCTTCTTCTGACGCATAGCCGGATGTATATCCTTGCGTGTCCATGTCGTCATCTTCTCCCGGAACTTCCTCCGCTTCGTCCTCATCCTCCTGTGCTGCCGCATCGTGGTTAGCTTCTTCCTGCGCACGCCTGGCATCTCCAGAGACGTTGGGGTTTTGGTTGTCCTCCTCGTCATCGGATTTGATGTGAATGTAGTATCTTCCGATGGAGATCAGTTGTGCCTCGCACTCCAGGCATAAGCAGAAGCAGGTAGGGATCGCGGTCGCACATGATGGACATATCCGGCATCTCAGTCCTTCCCATGTCTCATCATTCAGGATGACGACTTTGCTGACTTCGTCCCGGACCTCGTTGACCTGTGCGTTGAACTCTTCCATCTTGTTGTTTCGATATAGTTCGCAAGCACGATTAACCATGTCAACGATGTAGTGCAGATTATCGGCACCTGTCTCAGTCTCCGGCATCCTCTCGCTGATCTTTGCGACGTTCTGGAGGAACATCGCAGCCGACTCTTGGGATGAGTTGACGAAGCCAGGGCAAATCTCGTTCTCCACACACTTCGAGTACGCCCTCTTGATGTCAGCGTACTCCAGGCGCTTCCCTCCGTTGCTTTTGCCAATCCAAATGGACTTGACCTCATAGAACGGGATCACGTCAAAGACCATGAAAGTCCCATTAGCCGCGACTCCAGCTCCATACCGCGCGAGGGTTGCACTGGGAATGTAGATGATCGCAATCGGATCCCCTCTCCTCACGTTCCGCAGCGTTGTCTTCGTCGCCACGTTCATCTCATCCCATGGAGCAAATGCCCCGAAGTGCAGTGCTAGCCTGTTACCGCCATCGATTCCGCCGGGGACTAGCCCACAGCGTACGATGCTTGGCAGGTTTTCCACATACGTCACATGGAATGCTCCTCCGAGAGTATCACCCATTCTTGCGGAATACCTATTCGCCAGAGCGGATGAGCTCATGAATCCAAAATCACTGTGACCGGTTGTGACTCGGATGCACCAAGGTCTGTACCATCCATCGCATCTGTTGAACATCCTGTCGATGTCGTCCCGATCCACGCCAGCCTTGTCATTTCCTCCCTGGCTGCCCTCGTGTCGTTCGGGTTCATGATGCTCGGAAACCTTGCTGCCAGAACCTGAAATCTCGATTTCTTGTGTCCGGATTCCTGCCACTTGATCACCTCCATGATGCCCATGTATCGTTTCGCTCTCGAGGTGTTAGGTGGGAATATGTCGTTGTTTCGGTCGTCAATGACAGCATCAATGTCGACCCATCCACCCTCGTCGCACCTGAAAGCACTTCCTCGGCAATTGCCGATCTTGTGTCGAAGGACTCTGCATAGGTCGTGAGATAGCTGGTTTGCTTGGTCCCTTGTAGTAAATACCGAGCGATCATCACCCATCCTGCATAGTGGAGCACCGTCGAAAGGAGCAATGCAGAAGTTGACACTCTTGCCAAGTTGCATCACGTCCACTTGCTCAAGGATTGCACCTTTGGGAAAGTACCTGGGGTCAACAATAGACGCGTATGCCCGTGGCATATGCACATCAATCAAGTCGCCGTACTTCGGGATGTAGCACGGGATGGTGTCGCATCCCATCTCAAGCGTCTTCTTGAATGTCCTGCTGTCCCCGCACGGGTTGTAGGTGAGGTCGACGCCACCACATTGAAGCTCTCCTCCCTCAGCCGTGTCAGCCATCTCCACCAAATTAATAGTGTAGCTGTACATCTCAATTGTTTCTTTCCCTGCTTGTCCTCCTTTCTTTCTTTCCTTGGACGTTGATGAGGACGGTTCCTCCGTATCCCCCATGTCTTCATCAGATAAAATAGGGTCACTGCTGAGTAGCTCACGGAGCACCTTCATCGCCTTCTCATTTCCAGCAGCCTCCTCAATGTCCTTGCAGTCGCCGTCGTGGGCCAGGTTCGCGCACTTCTTACAGATCCCCATATCTCCCATGCACTTCTCCATTGACTCCAGGAATCCTAGTGCCGCTCTCCGCCCGTCGATCACTCGCTGCTTCTTATCTTCCTTCTCAGCATTGGGCTGAGAACTTCGACTCGGGTCTGGTGCTTGACCAAGACCCTCATCTTCGCCCTCCGCGGCCTTTCTCTTGGACCCTTGTGCAGAGGGCTCGGTGATCAGGGATCGTGGATGTCTGGGCTTGACCTTGTTCATGATGTCAAGCACCTCCTTCGTGGGCACGCCGAGCTGTGCGGACGGCTTGTTCCGCTTTCTGTTCTGGCCCGTCGTGTGGGTCACGTTCCCAGCGAGGTGTCGCACTATTGACTGCTCGAACTCCCTCTTGATCTTCCATGCATCCTTCCACAGTGGCAGTTCGTGCTGGAAGTACGACATCACCTCAAAGAATCCCAACACCATCTCGACGACGTCTCCCAAGGATTCCTCGTTCGTGGTTTGTCCCAGGAGTTCATACATCGTTCCTTGGTCGAGCACACTCTTGATCAAGGACGAATATGCCACATTGCCAAGATCCTTGCCTATCAAGAAGATGGACATCCTCTCCTCGACTCCCTCGGAATTCTTGCACACGATCGCATCCCGGGATGCGCACAATTGCTTCCCGTGACCGTTGTTGTAGAACTGCGCTGCTTGATCCACAGTCATGCTCACGAATCCCGCGTGAGAAAGCTCTTTCTTCAGCTTTGAGTACGCGAGCTCCCGTATGATCGTGATCATGGCCTGGATATTGTTGACGTCCACCATGAGGTTTTGAAGGTCGGGGATTGCCACCACGCATTCCGCGAAGAGGCGCGTGTACATTTTCTTCCCCTCGATAGACA